ATGACAGTATACTGGTTCGTCCATTCTCTCAATAGTGATCTGAGGAGCTTCATTATCCCACCTGACCTTGAACATGGATGAATAGTAGCTAGCGCATCCGCTAGTTGATTTTCCTCTCGTAGAAAATGCTCAAAGGTAACTTCTTCAAAGTGTGGAGTCAACGTCAACACATGATCTCTGTAAGGGATGAGATTAGGATGCTTAGTGTCCCCTTCTCCCTTGATTTGACTGATTAATAGGGCCGAGTCTCCAAATACACTCAAGAATTTTATCCTCAAGTCGATAGCAACTTTGAGACCCATAATGCATGCTTCATATTCATCCATATTGTTGGTATAATTGAAACATAACCTGGAAGTGAAAGGAGTATGACAGCCCTCGGGAGATATGATCACAACACTGATGCCATTGTTAAGTGCGTTGGAAGCTCCATCAAAAACCATAGTCCATCAAGATCCTTTTTCAAGTCCTTCATCTGGTCCAGGTTATTCACAATCAGTTACTAACATGATGTTCTCATCCAGGAACTCAAAGTTTATGGACTGGTAGTCGTCCACAGCCTGATGAGTTAAATGATCAGCTAATACACTTCCCTTAATTGATTTCTGGATTGTGTATTGTATATCATATTCGGTCAACATCATTTTCCATCTTGCTATCCTTCCGGAGAGAGCGGGTTTCTCAAAGATGTATTTGATAGGATCCATTTTAGATATCAAAGAGATAGTGTGAGTCAACATATACTGTCTTAGTCGGCGAGCAGCCCATGCCAGAGCGCAACAAGTTTTCTCGAGCAGTGAGTATCTTATTTCACAGTCGGTAAACTTTTTACTAAGGTAGTATATTGCATTCTCTTTTCGACCAGACTCGTCATGTTGTCTCGACACACACCCTATTGAGTTCTCTAACACCGTTAAGTACATGATAAGAGGTCTTCCTTCAACTAGAGGCATCAAAATTGGAGGCTCTTGAAGATGTTCCTTGATTTTGTCAAAGGCAAACTAGAAATCATCATTCCACTTCACTGCTTAATCTTTCTTCAGTAATTTAAAGATTGGTTCACAAGTAGCAGTTAGATGGGAAATGAATCTAGCAATGTAGTTTATGCGACCCAAGAATCCCATGACCTCCTTCTCAGTACGAAGAGTGGGCATTTATTGTATCGCTTTAACCTTTGTAGGGTCTACTTCGATGCCTTTTCCGCTGACAATAAAGCCTGAGAGCTTCCAGATCTTACTCCAAAGGTGCACTTATTTGGGTTCAGCCTCCGTTTGTATTTTTTTCAGCCTTTCAAACAGCTTCTGCAGGTGATTAAGGTGCTCCTCTCCAATCTGAGACCTGGCTATCATATCATCAACGTATACCTCTATCTCGTGATGGATCATATCGTGAAACAAAGCTACCATGACACGCTGATAGGCTGCCCCGACGTTCTTTAACCCAAATGGCATAACCTTGTAGCAGAAAGTGCCCCACTGTGTAACGAAGGTTGTTTTCTCCATGTCCTCAGGTTCCATTTTGATCCGATTATACCCAGAGAAACCATCCATGAAGGAGAATACCTTATTTTGTGCGGTGTTGTCAACTAGAACATCAATATGGGGAAGCAAAAAGTCATCCTTGGGGTTTTCCCTATTCAGGTCTCTGTAATCCACACACATATATACCTTACCGTCCTTCTTAGGTATCAGAATAACATTAGCAACCCATTGTGGATAAGAGGTAACAACTAAGAAACCGACGTTGAACTGTTTCATGACTTCAACTTTGATCTTTCTGACATTTTAGGGCGCATACAATGAACCTTTTGTTTCACTGGAGGGCAGTCTTCTTTTGTTGGCAAACAATGAACCACAATATCAGTGTCAAGTCCCGGCATGTCTTTGTATGACCAGGAAAAGATCTCAACATAGTCGTATAACATCTGTATGAAACGCTTCTTGACACTATACTCCAGATCGGCACCCATCTTGACTTCTATCTTACCTTTTCTCTTCTGCTCCCAGAAATCTTCCTTCATGAACCTGTTGTCGAGGTTGATTGCATAGACGTGGGGAAACAATTCTGGAGATTCTGAACTGCAAAGGAGAGCAGATCTGCTGGTCGTTTTAGGTTGCAAGCTAATAGAGCTCAATCCTTTGGCTGCAACTTTAAAAAATATTTGTGTCGCCTGGATGTCCCAGTGTAGGGTGGCGACAACTTACTGCTTAGTGTAATACTTTATTTTAAGGTGCACCATGGACGACACTGCAATCAGATCAGCCAGAGTGGGCCTCACAAAGATGCACTGGTATAATGAGAGGCAGTCCACCACGAGGAACTGCATCTTGATTGACCTGGAACATTTGGCTGCCCCAAATGTGATAATTAGCTCTACGTACCCCCAAGGCTTGGTGACAAAGTCGTTGAATCCTTGGAGATATGAGCCAACATACGGGGTCAGGTGGGTCTCATTTAGCTACAGAGTATTGAATAGTTGGGTGTATATTATGTCCAACGAGCTGCCTTGGTCAACCAAGATTCGTCTGACGTCGAAGTTGGCTATTCTCGCTCTAACGAGCAGAGGAATACTGGAGTTAGGGCCCCTTTCGGGTAACTCTTCCCTGTAGAAGGCAATGGGGAGAGAGCTTCCCATGACTATATCAAGGGTGGAATTCTTCTCGAATCTGGCATCAATGAGTTACTCAAACCTCCTATTGACCGAGCCCACCGTGTATTTGTTGAGGCCACCTCCAGATATAACCATTGCCGCTGGAAATGTCTCCCAGGGCTATGGCTCACAAAATATAGAGGGACCTCATCCATGTTGGGGGAGTAGAAGTCCTCAGGCCTGGTGATGCTCAGAGAAATGGGTACGAGGCTCGCGTCAGGGGAATCCTGGGTGTCTACTCTTTGTGCGTCAAGCAAAATGGGAGTTATGTTGCCCTTGATGGCATGTGTGCGTGTCAGGCGTTGTTGGTCGTGCCTCTTGTGGTCGACCGGGGATGATGGTTCAGTGTTTTAGGATCGTGCCAAGGGTAGAGACGGATTGAGCCAATTTCAATTATTGGACCAGTCCAGAGAAGGATAAAATCAAAACATTAATGGATACCTTTGGTTGTATTTGAGGGTTAAATACTTGAATAAAATTGCATATAAAAGAGACGCCCGACCAAGTTTCTTCAATTGGCGTACCAAACAAACTTTACATAGAAAATATTGAATTAATGAATTTTATTTGTTTAATACATGCAGATATATCATGGAAATAGTTATTGTATTTTGATGAAATTACCAAAATATCTCAGCCAATATCCTATGCTTGTCTATATCATTGAAGAGAGGTCGACGCTTAATGATGTGAGCAAATATGCAGCCCATATACCAAATATTAACTACAGTTGAGTAATTCGTCGAGCCCATCAAAACTTCAAGTGTTGTATAGCTAGGATGAGCCTTCTACAAATGAAAATCAAAATTGCAAATAGAAACCTTAAACCCTAATACAAAATATAAGAAACCCTATTCAAATAAGCTTAATAAGATTTAACTGAAACACAAAATCTGGAATTGTCAACTGCTCACGCGGTACGTATCTGAAGAGCTGCATAAGTCTATCAATATATACCACTTTCTTCCAAACCTAAAATCAAACACCAACGAAATAACACAATTAGGATGTTCTCAAATAGGGATAAAGCAATTAAAAGAATTTGATTATCTTTTTACATTCTTGAAATATAAGCTAATCTTGTGTCCTATTTGAATTTTCTTTGTTGTTATTTTCATATATCAAACCTGTAACCTGAAATTGAAATTAATAAAACAATAGTAAAGAGAACTATAAAATCTAGCTATATGAATATTGAAATTGAAAGCAAAAGCGATAAGAAGAGGAACTTGAGGATCAAGAAGAGTTGTTCGCGTCTTGACATATCGATAGAAATCAGCGGAAGCAAGATAAACTTTTTGTGGAATAGCTTCGTATGAAGATTTGATGTTTGTGGAATGGCTGTCGAGTGGAAGATGGAGGACGTGTTGGAGGAAGAACGATACAGATCATGAGGAAGAAGGAAGATGAGGAGGAAGAACGAAGCAGAACGATAGAGAGAGAAACAAAGAAAGGACGAGAGAGATAGAGAAAGAGATAAAGAGAGGAAGATGAAATGAAAGAAATTTGAAGAGTAAAATATTTGTAAAATCGTTCAATTGTATTTTGAAATTTTGTAACGACATGTTTTATAGAAAAATTAGAATGGTGATCGAAAAGAATACAAACTTTTAGAATAAAAAATTTGCTGAGCCTCGACAAAACCACATGTTAAATTTTTAGAAGAAAAAATTCAATTTTTTTTATTTTTTTATATAATAGATAGATTTGAAAATAAGAAATCTTAAACCCCATAACATACTAAACAAAACAAAAAATGATGTCTCTCAACCGAAATGGTACCTCCAAGATAATAGAAGGGAGTTTGTACTTGGATTAAAACCCAACTAATTCCACTTCTATGAGCTATATGTTGTTACTTTACCATGTATTATAATTTTATATACAATAAATTAAAAATCCTTAAATTTACTATGTTATTTAAGTATTTTAAAATAAAAATATATTTTAATTGAATATATATTTCATATTTCTTATTGATTGATATTGTAAAATATTTTTACATATTAAATTATACTATATGAGTGAAGATATGAGTAGTAATTAAAAAAATAAATTATTATTCCAGTAGCTTTATCCTGTTGTACTCTTTCTCTTTCTTTTTCACCTTTGCTTCTTCTCAACGTTGGGTAGCCTAAAAAGTAAAATATAAAATATAAAAAAAGCAAAAATAAAAATCAGCTATAAGCATGTAGTAATTGGCAGCGTACATAACACGAGAGGTTACTTACTCACTCGACAAGAAATTAAAGTTGTAGTTAATTAGAGAGAGAGGCATAGCAACCAACAGCCAGAAAGAGAGAATAAGAGAGAGAAAGTTAGAGAGAGAGAGATTCCAGATGCTCTGGCAATGGGGAAAATTGGAAATCAAGATGTGCAACAAGAAGAACAGAGGGAGAACGACGGTGAAGGCTGTTCACGGTGTTCGGCGGTGCTGAGATTATTCAGTTTCAAGTGTTTTTTCATTCTCCTTTTCAGTTTATCGGCTTTTCTTTCCGGAATCTTCTGGGTTCTTCCTAAACACAATTCAACTCAATTGAGCTTTGATGCTAAAGATGTAATTAAGCACAGTGGTAAACGATTCTCTCTCTCTCTCTCTCTCTCTCTCTCTCTTTCAATTTCGCGTAATGATTTTGTTTTTGATTTTCGATTTCGAATTGTTTCAGTTATTGTTTGTTTGTTGAAATGTTTTTTTATTCGATTTGACTTGTGATGAAACCGGTTTTTGATTCTGATGCTCTGTCATGATTAGGTTTTGTTGAATTGAGGATTTGAGTTTATACAGATTCTGGTGTTTGTGAATTGTGATCATTTTTTAGGTTGTTGAAGTAGGGATTCCATTTTTCTTTTGGTTAAGTTTTAGGCATGATATGTTTAGAAGATCAGCAAGAATATCTGTGAAGCTGTGATTTATGCTCATTATAATGCAGTACTCACAATCATGGATTTGGCTTCCCTTTTGTGCTAATGTGATATGCGTACTTACTTACAAATTGAGCTGTGTTTGGAAATCATTTACATTATTTTTGTGTAAAACTGGAAAAAATTTAGCTTAATGAAGATTTAAATCATCATTAAGCTGCTATTGACTTGTTGTTGACTTGCACTTAAGCAATTGTTGTTGACCTTATCAGCAAGATCTATACTTTGGAAGAGGGATGCTGCAACGCTTTTTTTTACTACTCTTGATGATACCCTTGATGTTTGATCTATTTTTAAAACAATTCATATATAACTATCTTATTGCGTTCCTCTTTTAGGAAATTAACAAATCAGTGTTTTGAGTGTGTTGTTGGCGTTCCTCTTTTAGGTATATGTAGGCAGTTTGTCATTATTACATTCAGGTAAACCATATAAGCAATTTTTTTTATAGGAAATAGAGTAGAAGTAGTGCTGACTTTTCAAGTAGTACTAGATTAATCGTATAAAAGTAAAATAGATTCATTATATCTTATTTTTTAGGTAACAGAGTCAGTCTAACTGTTCGTCTTGTAAATTGCATTCAGAATTTATTATCTATCTATCTATCTATCTTGATTTGTATAAATATATAATTCCACTGAGTCTTTTAGTCACTATGTTTCGAAACGGGATTCAGCTGCTTACTGCTGTAAAACAACTTGACAATGCTTCATCTATACTGTGCCATACATGTGATCTGTGCAACTATCACTCATAATTTTGTTATTGTTTCTTTTTGTATTACTTCCCTGTGATCATACTTTTGTTTTAATATCTTGTTTGAATTGTTAATGTTTGTGACTACTGAATTTATTTATTGACGATATTTGTATTCCTTGAACAAATTTCAGCTACTGTTCAGGCATCGTTCAGGCTGGAAAAACCAGTTTCACAGCTTATTCCATACATTGAAAGATTACAAGATGATATATTTGGTGAAATAGCTCTGCCAAATACAAAGGTCTCAGCCAAGCTTCTAGTCTTACATTTTTTTCATCATGACCCTACTTATACCTAAATAGTGGCTCATACGATATTTACTCTTAACAGGTGGCTATCCTATCCATACACCAAAGTGTTGCACCTAGCTTGTCTGATGTGGTATTTGGTGTTCTCTCTGATCCAATGAAGATTCCAATAAATCCAGTGTACTTGAGTGTGCTGAGATCATCACTAATTGAACTGTTTCTCCAGCAATCCAATCTGACTTTCACAACATCAGTATTTGGAAACGCATCTTTGTTTGAGATCTTGAAGATTCCTGGCGGGTTAACTGTAAAACCAGTGCAGTCTGCTTCTATTTGGCAGATACCTGAGATTCTGTTTAATTTTACTCTTAATAATTCAATATCTGAAGTCCTGGATAAGTTTGACGACTTTGAGGAAGAATTGAAGTTTGGGTTGCATCTGAAGTCGGACGAGGTGCATTCTCATAACCCGTGTCATTTATTATTTTTGGGAATTGCAATTTTTGTTTTATAAGTTCCATTTCTCTCACAAGTCAAAATCTTATTGTTGTCAAATATTCCGACTTCTCTCAAGATCAGGAAGAATTTAATCAAAACAAAATTTAATTGTCTGTTTTTGTATTTTTCCTGGTCAAAGATTAAAAAACTAATTCTCTATTGGTTACTAACTAGAAGCTGATAACTTATGGTGGGTCTGGCTGATATTTAAGGATGTTCCTTTTTGAGTGGGTGGAAAACAAATGTCTTTTTTAATACAACAAAGTTCAGATGCATTGCCATTTTCTACATTCTTGTTTTCATCTAATTTTATTTGTTTTAAATTTTATAATTTTCTTTCTTTGCCCAATCAACCTAGCATAGCCTAAATCATTGAATTTATTAAGAATGAATAGTTTGCCTTGTTATTTTAACTCCATAATTTGCCTTGTTTAATACCTTAAGAAATTGAAATTGAAATTTTAGAAGTTGGATTTAAATCCATTGATAGATTGCTATAACAAGCATTGAAAATAGCCTAAATCATTGGGTTTATTAAGAATGAATAGTTTGCCTTGTTTTTTTTACTCCATAGTTTGACTTGTTTATTACCTTAAGAAATTGTAGTTGAAATTGTAGAAGTTGGATTTAAGTCCATTAATAGATTTATATAACTAACATCTGCCTAATTGTTTGTTTGCCATTGCAGAATGTCTATGTGCACATAACAAATGCACGTGGCTCAACAGTAGCTCGTCCTGTGGTAGTGCAGGCATCAGTCATGCGAGGGTTTGAGAGCCTTTTGCCACAAAGATTGAAACAAATAGCTCAAACAATAAGACGCTCTGCTAGAAAAAATCTTGGCCTTAATAACTTGGTTTTTGGCAAAGTCAAAGAAATCAGGTTATCTTCTTTATTAAAGGATACACTACATGCTCACCCACCTGCTCCTGCCCCATCCCCACAGTTAGTTGATCATTCTGAGCCATTAATTTCACCATACCATGCTCCTTCTCCTTCTCCAATATCCCCAGAAACTTCTGAGAAACCTCCTTGTTTTGACTGTGAAGTATTCTCACCTTCACCTTCCATTATGACCGAGCATCCTGCAGATCCCTGTCCATACAGTTGCTTCAAGCTCCTCCAAGATAGGGAGAAATCTAAAAAGTTGGTGTCTCGCGTACTTGCTCCGCTCTCTCAATGTAAGTTTATCTGGCATTATAGACCATTCTTTCCTTTCTTTTGCTTGGCTATAGTTGAATCTGACAATAAGAGTTAAGCATCCTTTGAAGTCTTTGTTCTATGTTTTTGTTGCTGCTAGTGCTAATTCTTTCTGTATGATACCCTGTTTTTAAAATAGCTCACATTTTCCCTAAAAAAATCTGCCCAATGTTTAGTACTGGAACATTTTGATATATCCGGTCCACTTACTACTAGTTTTTCTCCCTTCTTCTGTGCAGCTTCAGCAGGCGGCGGTTTCCACTCAGAAATCTTGCTAATGGGATTTTGTTTGCTATTAGTATCTTTTGTTCTTATCAATGATATTATATTTCAATGATATGAGAGGACGTGCCTGATGAAGGATCAGCAAGCCATGCAAAGACTAAACAACAGCTTAATGATACTTCAAAAGTTTTGCACAGACAAAGGAAGAAGCTTCCCACAAGATTTAACTGCTGTCTATATTTTAATTCTGGCACGCAACGATATTGTAAAGCTTTGGTGGATTAAGGTCAAAGCCAGAAAGATGGCAGGCCTCTAATCTAGTATGTTATATCCTAAATGAAGTGTGAATCGATCCCAAAGGGGTCAACTAACAAACAACATGTTCCGAAGCAAAATTGGCTTTAGATGTCAAAAGAACCATTCTTTGTACTCAATTAAGTGTATAATATGCAAAGAAATTAATGGGTTCTTTGGGCATCTGAATCTGTAAAGTATCTCCAGTAATATCCAATAGAGAACTCTGTTTTTATGATTTTGGGTGTTTTGAAGTCCAATTATGTACTAAATTCTTAAAATGCCCGTTTTTTCCTCCAATTTATTTTAGGAACTTGACTTGGTAATCAAAATTAATTACTACATTTTAGAGGAATCAAATATGTCAATTAATTCTACGTCTCTACAATCAAACATACATTATGGGTGAGTTTGATTTTGCTGTGATGTGAAGGGAAAAAATGATTTATGTTTATACATTTATTGAGTTTAACATTAAAATTTAATGGAAAAATCACGTTTAAACTATTTAAATTTAGGAGAATTTTAATGTAAAACTCAAGTTGGAAAATCTATTGTGAATATGTGATCAATTTTACTTTTGATGAATAAACATTTCAAAATCATTTCTACACATTTAAAATTACTTTTACCTCTAGCAAAATGGAAATCAAACATTAACATCAACTGTCTAGCTAGCAAAATGGAAATCAAACATTAACATCAGCTGTCTAGTCAAGTGTCTAGCTATTAAAATTAAAGGCCATCAAACTATTAAAAATGCCCTTTCTCTTTAAATTAATTACACTACTACAAGGATATATAAGTAATTACATAAACATCAATAGATTTACACTATTTATTCAATCAAATATTGACACTTGACAATACAAAACTACTTTTATTTTTTCAATTCTTATTCTATCTCACTTCTTTCTTTATATTTATTTTTCATTTCATTTCTACTTACTTTTTTTTTCTCTCTCTCTCTCTCTTGCATTTTTCTCTCCAATATTTTCACTTTCATTTTAAATTTGTCTCTCAATTTTCTCTTTTATTTTTTATTTTTCTAAACATAAATAAATTAATAATTTGAATTAACATAATTATTAAAAAAATTATTTTTAATTGTCAAAATTATTAATAATTATTAAAAAAGTTATTTTCAAATGTTAAAATTTTTACTTTTTTTCTTGGACCACTATCAGCAAAATATCTATTTTATTTTAGCTAACATTATACTTATTTGACATACAAAATTATTATTTTCAAATGTCAATATTTCTATTTTTTTCACAAGGAATTATCAGCAAAATATTTATTTTTATTTTAATTAACAATTGTCTTTATTTGAGACTCAAAATTTTTATTTTTTCTTTCTCAATTTTCTCTTTTCTTTTTTATTTTTATAAAAAAATAAATTAATAAATTGAATTAACATAATTATTTTTAAATATCAAAATTATTCATAATTATTAAAAAAATTATTTTCAAATGTTAAAATTTCTACTTTTCCCATGAATCACTATCACTAAAATACCTATTTTATTTTAGTTAATATTATATTTATTTGAGACACAAAATTCTTATTTTCAAATGTCAATGTTTCTATTTTTCTCACAGAGAAATATCAGCAAAATATCTATTTTTATTTTAATTAACAATTGTCTTTATTTGAGACACAACATTCTTATTTTCAAATGTCAAAATTTCTATTTTTTTTACGGAACACTATCAATAAAATAATTATTTTATTTTAATTAATAATTATCTTTATTTGAAACACAAAATTATTATTTTCAAATATTCAAATTAAATTTATATTATTATTATTATTATTATTTATTTTATAATTAAATAATTTATTTCAAATTTACATGTATATTTAAATAAAATTTATATCGTATTAAATAAATTTATAACGGGACACGATTAGTTAAACTTACGCAATTTTTTATTTATAAATATTACTTTTAATATACATTTGAATACAAATTTATTATACAAAATTATTTTAACCTATACAAATATATGAATATCATTATTTTTTATACAATTATATTTATCCTTCTATATTATAAATATTTAAATAATAAATTATATATATCATAATTAATATGAGATACCTTAATGTATACAACAAGTGACAAGATTATTTTACACGTGAATGTAGAGAGTGACTGCTTATTAGTAGTGTACAAAATTGGAAATTCATAAAACATTTTCTATTCAATTTGGTTTAAGCGTGTAAAAACATTCGTCCCCTTTTAAAATTGAGAAAATAGTCTGTTGGAGATATTTTCGATGCAATTTTCTGCTTATCAAATTGTAAGTATCTTGCAGTATGTTTGGCCATTACAATCTTAATGTTAGTTTATTAAATTTTGACTTCAAGAGTAATGTGTTTAAAATATTTCAAATATCGTCCATTTATAAATATAGATCAATTGTTCGATTCTATATTCCAAATTAATAAATGTTATTAAAAAAAAATTTAATTGATATACATCGATGGTGTAAAGCAGTTTTACATCATCAATTAATTGTAACCATCTGATTTTTATAATTGTTTGATTTTTATTTTAATTAACTTCAAAATATTAGACATGAGTGATTGTAATGCACCATATGTAGACAAAAATTTACACTGACAATACGTGTCAATTAATCTCTTAAAAAAATACTTTCTTGACAATAAAGCATCATTCTCATGTAAGAGAGTAAGAAATATTTGAATCAACCATGTCATAATAGTACTATAGAGACAGTTTTATATATAGAGAGATTTACGGTAAACTACATGATATAATCGATGTAAGATTTATATATAAATATTCCTTAATAAATAAATACATATTCTATCACACCCTCACAGTCAAAGCAGGAGATGAACACTTATACTGGTTTGAAAATCATTAAAGAGAACTTTAGGGAGACCTTTGGTGAAGATATTAACAATCTGATATTGTGAAGGAACATGAAGAATGTGAGTTTGGCCACGAGCGACCATCTCCCGAACAAAGTGAATGTCTATCTCAGTGTGTTTTGTATGCTGATGTTGGATAATATTGGTGGATAGATATATATCACTAACATTGTCATAGTACACAAGAGTAGCTTGAGAAATAGGAAAACGAAGCTCCAAGAGAAGGTTACGGAACCAACATAATTCTGAAACCGCATTAGCAACATCCTGATACTCAGCCTCTGCAGTGGAACGAGAAAGTGTGGGTTGTCTCTTGAAAGACCATGAAATTAGCTTGTCACCAAGAAAAACGCAATAACCCGAAGTAGATCGACGAGTGTCGGGATATCTATACCAATCAACATCTGTGTAGGAAACAAGTTTCTCGATGAGAGAAGAATAGATATGCAAACCATATTGTAAGGTGTCCTAAACATAACGCATAATGTGTTTCAATGCAAGCATGTGCTCAGTGCATAGTTCTTGAAGCATGCATATGAAGATACACCTGTTGGACATCATATGGGATGTCAGGATGTGTAAATATGAGATACTGCAATGCATCGACAATCAACTATCTAACTAAAATTGGAACATGCTAAGGACCTCCCTAATTTACCCTTCTACTCACTTTCAAAATGCACTAAGATATGTCCTTAATTGAATTCGCGAACAACTAATGAGGGACAATCATAATAAAGTTTACAAATAGTTTTTCGATATAATTGAGGGCAAAGAGGGAAGATTTCGAGAGACTCTTATTGGAATTGACTAAATACATCTTCCTTGACCAATCAAAACGTTTGCTTTAGCTAGGTGGACGAATACACTGTTGAAAATAATTTATGTTTTAGGAATGTCTTGTTGACTAAGTCTGTTAGAGGCTATTTTAGTATTTTATTATACCCTAGTATTGTGTATAAATATCCTAGTAGTAGGTAAGTCAATGTATTCATTACTCTTTATTTTGTAGCCATCATTTAATATATTCTTTTTATCTTTCATCTCTCCTTTGTGCACCAACAATTGGTATCTAGAGCTCCGGTTCGAAATCCACGGGGAAACACGGAAAACATGAGTGAACAGTGAGGTGTTGTGTGATTGAGAATCACATTTTTTTTCTGATTCTGTGGGATTTGAGAAAAACTGTATGTTAGTGAGTTTTGAGCGAACTACACAAGTTTGAAGATGAACAGAAATGGCGATATCAGTTCCAAGCTTCCAGTGTTTGATGGCAAAAACTGGAATCGCTAGATGATCCAGATACGTGTGTTGTTCGATTTTCAAAATATGTTAGATCTTGTCACTGATGGCTATGCTTCATTAGCAGCAGACGCGAGAGAAGCACATAATACAACACATAAGACAATAAGGAAGAAAGATCAAAAAGCATTGTTCTACATCCATCAGAGTGTGGATGCGAATGTGTTTGAGAAGATTGTTGACTTTGAAACAATAAAGGCTGCATGGGACACACTGATCAGATGTTACGGTGGTGACGCATCAGTAAAGAAGGTGAAGCTTCAGTCTCTAAGAAAGCAATATGAGAATCTTAACATGAAGGACAACGAGAAGGTTTCTGAGTACATCTCTAGAGTGATTCTGATCACTAATGAGATGAAAGCTTGTGGAGAAACCCTTTATGAACAAGTAATCATATAGAAGGTATTGAGATCTTTAACTTCTCAATTTGATTACATTATGGTAGCAATTGAACATTATAAAGATCTGGATACCATGAGAATAGAAGAGCTGCAAAGCAGTCTAGAGGCGCAAGAGTTGCGTCTGACTGAAAGAACTTGAGAGGAAAGTTAAGCAGGCTCTAAAGGCTTCTTTTATCAATAAAGACCAAAAGAAGAAGAGACATGGTGGTA